TTGGGTGCGCAAAAGTGCCAGCCTTGAGAATTGCCTTATGAGGGTTTAAAGGGGGTTGAGCAACAGCTTGTGTGCGGCCGCTGACCTCCCTCCCAATCTGCGACGTGCAGCGCAGAAACCGGTTCCTCGCCACTCCTGCCGACGCCAAGTTCGGATCCCGGCGGACTTTTAGTTTCCGGATGAATCAGACCACACTATTCGACGGCCTGGCCTGCCGCGATGGTTTGCATTGTCAGAGACCTTTCGGTATGCAGAAGCGCTCGCGAGCAGAGGCCTTGCGAATTGCCCTTATAGGGGTTTATGTGGGTACTCAAAATTAACCGCCTCGCGAATTGCCCTTATAGGGGTTTATGGGGGTTGCCGTCGGTTGCAGAGGCCGTGTCCGTTCTCTGTCTGTCGTCCACGCTTGTGTGCGCCCGCTTACATGCTCGTGTTTCGGCGTGCTTTTCGGTTCGCACTAACACACGTCGATGTTTCCAGTGCGCGAAATGGGTGTCGCCTTCGCGACTTCACGAGCCGGGGTTTGAAGGGGTTGCAGGGGGGTCTTTCGCCCACGGCTGCATTTTTCGTGTCCACGCCGCTGAGAGGTGCGAGTTCCACGAGTTGTTGTACTGGTAGCTGTAAGTGAAACAGCGTACGACATGCTTGTGTGGCGATGGGGAGAGTCGGTGTTAATAGGGGTCAATTGGGGGTCCTGCTGCACCGATTCATAAAGTGCTGCATCAAAGACGGCCCTTTCTTTTGTCCATGCTCTCGTTGCACGGACACTCGAGGACGGCAGAGCCTCTATTCGATACGCCGCACACACCGTTCCTTGTGTGCACCCGCTGACCCTCCCCTCCACGATCCGACGTGCGGCACAGAAAACGGTTCCCCACCACACCTACAACTGCCAAGTTCGGATCACGGCGGGCTTTGAGGTCCCGCCTAAATCTAACCACACTTTTCAACAGCCTGGCATGCCGAATGTGATCAGATTGTCAGAAACCTTTTGGTGTGCAGGAGTGCTTGCGAGAGTGCTGCGGGCTTGCGAAAAGCGCTTATAGGGGTTTATGGGGGTCGTCGCCAGTGACAGAGGCCGGTTCCGTTATCGGTCTGCCGTCGATCTTCGTTGCCCTCCAAGGGGTTAAACCGTCGCGATGCGTGGAGTGTTGTCGCTGACATGCTCCTGTTTCGGCGTGCTTTCCGTTTCGCACGGTCATACGTCGACGTTTCCAACGCTCGAATTGGGGGTCACCGTCTCGACTGCACGCACAGAGGTTTGTAGGGGTTGCAGGGGGGTCTTTCAGCAAAGGCTACAATTTATTCTTGTCCCCGCCGCGGAGATGTTCGAGTTCCACGAGCTGTGCTACTGGTAGCTGTGAGTGAAACACCGGACGACCTTGGTTTGACGATGGGGAGAATCGGTGTTAACAGGGGTCATTTGTGGGGTCCTTCAGCGCCAGACTGTTAAGTGCTGCATCCACCACTGCCCTTTCTTCCGTGCGTGCTCTCGTTCCACAGACACTCGAGAGCGGCGGAGCCTTTATTTGATACACCCTCGCCTTGTGCGCACCCTGTGACCCTCCCTTCCACTCCCCGACGGGCCGCGAAAAAAAAGGTTCCTCGCCACTTCTGCGACCGCCAAGTTCGGATCCTAGCGGACTTTGAGGTTCCGCCTTAATCTAAGCGCACTATTCAACCTCCAAAACGGTTCCTTGCCACTCATGCAGCTGCCAAGTTCGGATCCTGGCAGACTTTGAGGTTCCGCCTATATCAAAGCACACTATTTAACGACCAGGGCTCTCGCATGTGTTTGCATTGTCAGAGACTTTTTCGTACGCAGAAGTGCTCGCGAGAGTGTTGTGGGTGCTCAAAATTACACGCCTTGTGAGTTGCCCTTATAGGGGTTTAAGGGGGTTCGCCGTCGGTGGCAGAGGCCGGGTCCGTTCTCGGTCTGCCGTCGATCTTCATTGCCCTCCAGGGGGTTTAACCGTCGCGATGCGTGGAGGCTTGTCGCTGGCACGCTCGTGTTTCGGCGTGCTTTTCGGTTCGCGCTGTCAGACGTCGACGTCGCCAGCGCGTGAATTGGGGGTCGCCTTGGCCACTCAGATTTGTAGGGGTTGCATGGGGGGTCAATCAGCCACGGCTACATTTTTCTTGTCCACGCCGCGGAGATGTGCGAGTTCCACGAGCTGTTCAAATCGTAGGTGTGACTGAAACACCGGACGAGCTCGCTTTCAAGATGGGGAGAATCAGTGTTAACAGGGATCAATTGGGCGTCCTGCAACGCCAATTTCTGAAGTACTGCATCCACCACTGCCCTTTCTTCTGTGCGTGATCTCGTCCCGCGGACATTCGAGTGCGGCAGAGCCTTTATTCGATACGCCCGCACATACCGTTCCTTGTATGCACCTGCTGACCCTCCAAATATTCGACATGCCACGCACAAACCGCTTCCTCGCCACTCCTGCAACCGCGAAGTTCGGATCCCGACGGACTTTGTGATCGCCAACTTTCTAAACCGGTACCTCGCCACTCCTGCAACCGCCAACTTCGGAGATCGCCTTGTCAATTACACGGATCGGGGTTTGTCGGGGTGACTCTGACACCGCACGGGCTCGTTTTGTCGATAGGGAGAATCGGTGTTAACAGGGGTCAATTGGGGCCAACAATGGTGTTAACAGGGGTCGATTGGGGTCGGGGTGACTCTGACACCCGCGACTAGCCTTTCTTCTGACTGCGGGAGAGCGTGGAAACATTCTTGGTGCCATAAGAAACCGCCAAGTTCGGATCACGGCGAACTTTCGAGTTCCGGGTGATGCTAACCGTCTCTTTCCACGGCCTGGTCCATCGCGTAT